AATGAAAGAATTCATCAGTTGAAAACTATATTTTGCTCTGTGGGCTATTTCATCTGAAATTTGGTTGATCTGAAACATTTGAGTTGGAGGGAAAAAGAAAAAAATCTTATTTTGTTTATCTTTGTGCCTTTTCAGGCTTTTGCACTCATGCCCAATGAGCCTTCAGCAAGGTGCATCATTTGGGTGTCGGAGAGAAACAAACTCCATCTCCAACAGCAAAGACTCTTCTTTCACATCATGAAAAATAACATTTTACTGTCTCCGGTAAGTAAGAGAAATAGTTAACTAATTTAATCATTAATCGTTTTGTTGTTCTCACACTCTAGTCATTAAAACTAAAGTGTAATCAACACTAATAACAGGTTTTAGCTAATAGATTTTCTTAACTGAGCGTTGTTTGTCTTTCAGCTTGTGTTTTATAAATCTCTCATGGAACCAACGCCTCTTGTAAGTAACTCTGACCTGATTGTTTGGGTTTAGCCTTGTATAATTTATACTTAACCTACTAGTTTCCCCCTCTCAATCAATGATTAAAGAAATAAGGACTTCTACTGATTAATATGGTAGTTAGTAAACATCCCAGCAGGCTGTGCCTCATATTAGATGGCATCAATTCTAAAAACTCCAAAAAACTTACAGATCTCTTTTGTTTCGTTGTTTGCTCTGATTAGGATGAACTTTATTTTCTTTGGGACAGTTGCAAGAACAAACCTCAGCTCTGCAGAGCAGACATGTTTTCTCTGCACTAAACTGGAATTAAGTGCTGGGTCTAGACCAGGAGTGTGCAACCTGCCAACTTTGGTTCAAACCAATAAAGATGGATATTGTAAAGTGTTTCAGTAACTGCACCCCACACTTGAAAGGGGTGGATGCTTGACTTTAGTGGGTTAGAGTATTGCTGGATTTACTCAGACAGAGCACTTGAGACTTTTTCCATTCTTTTTATTTCCCCCATTTTGTGGTCAGTCTTAACAACAATCAGGTAAAAACCATAGGACAGAAAGGCAGGATGGTTAGTTAACACAAAATGTACCTCAATATTGCACCTTGCCCAGACATTTAACCATAAATACCATACAATCCAACCCCATAAAGCACAACATCGATACACATTTCCCAAATTATTTACACCAATGTAGCTATTTTCAAATCAAGGAGGACTCCACTCAAATTACATATACTAAATTAAACGCAGCAGCAGTTTGTCCTCAATTTTCTGCATCTAGTTTTCAGCATAACTCTCTTACACAAGTTGCAAGGATTATCAGCTGCCTTCTTAGGTGTCATTTATGCCTTCACCAGTGTGTGGCAAAGCACATCAGGTGTGCACCCCAATAGCCCCCCTGGGCTATCACCAGTTAGCAGGTCAGTGCAACAGATATATTAATACATGCAGCCTTCACCAGCTTTTCAGTTTGTTTTAATACAACTGCCTTGAATTTACTCAAAGGAAATACACTATATAAACTAGTAATATATTTTTAACCTGTATTTTTTTTTTTTTTTTTTTTTGTCACTTGGTTAGAAACCTCT